TCACAAATGAAACATTCTGTTTAAGCAGTAACTACAGAATATTAGTCAGATATCCTCATGATCCCTGTGAGTAATAATTCTTTATAAAATATGCAAGTGATTTTAAGCAGGTATTTAAAAACATGTCTTTAGAATAGTTATTTTTCCTATTTGAAACTTTATATAAAAGGAATTACATCTGTTATATATGTCTAGTTTCTTTGACTCAAACTTGTGTAAGTACCATCCAATTGTTGCATGCAGCACAAGTTTGTTTATTCTTTTAATTGACAAATAAACACTGTGTATATTTATGATGTATAATATGATGTATGTGTGTGTGTGTGTGTGTGTATAGTGGAGTGGCTAATTAAATTTAATACACACATTACCTTATGTACTTATTATTTACTCTCAACAATGTTCAAGTATATGCAATAAAATTCCATTGCATATACATACCATATTTTCATGCATTCATACACCGATGGGCATAGAGATTGATTCCATATCTTGATTATTATGACCAATATTATGATGGACATAAGAATGCAGATATTCTGTTGACATAGTATTTCATGTCCCCTGGATATACCTGTAGTGATGGAATTACTGGATCATATGGTAGTGTTTTAAATTTTTGACATACCTCCATAGGATTTCATTTTGTTTGTTTGTTTGTTTGTTTATTTATTTTGGTTTTTGAGACAGGATCTACTATGTAGTTGAGACTGACCTGGAACTCACTATATAGCCCAGGCTGGTCTTGAACTCACAACGATCCTCCTGCCTCAGCTTCCCGAGTGCTAGGATTACAGGTGTGTGCCACCATGCCCAGCCTCTTTATTTTATTTTTGACGTTCACAATTTAGTTTATTCAGGCAACAGTTTGGCTACTTTCAGTGTGGATAGCTATGCTTGTGAGCAAACATGAATCAATGGAGAATTCAGAGGTAGCTTTTATCTGTGTTTGTTTAACAACAAGGTATTTAGAAACCACATTCTGTAGTGATTTGGCCAATACATTCACTTGAGACAATAAAATGGCAAAACATATGCAGAGAAGCAAAGTGTGGGACCATGATGGAACTGATGTGACCTTCACACACACAGAGCTGATGGTCCCTTCTGTACCTGACACTGGATTGCCTAACCAGAGTTACAATGGGGGCTAGAGCAGGTACTTCAAATCCAGCAGAATCATGGTATAGGGGCTAGCACTAGCTTCAGATCAGATCTCTCAGGCATCTACAGGTACAGCTACAATGACAATTGACCTCATGGCTTTAAATTGACACTGGCCAAAGGGAGGTGAGGGAGAGACTACCCTCTAGCCTATTTATATGGGTCATGTAGATGCTTCCTATCTTCAGTGTCAAAGGCTGGATGGTACCAGAAGGAAATGCTTTCAGGAGCAATGGCAAGTAAGAATGGATTGGGATTTAGCTCAGTGGTTCCTCAGTCTGCCTCCATAGCATTTTAAATACTATCTATACCAGTGATAGTTTAGACAACCTTTTAGAGCTTTCAATGATAACAAACAGCCAGCTATGGCACACATGCCATAGGTTTGCCATTGCTGTATATAAACTTGCTTTCATGCCTACAGTATTCAAGCATTCCCTTGTTTCCACATCTTTGCCAACACTTACATTTCATCTTTTTTGAAATTATGTTTTCTGACAATGTGAGAAAAAATTTTTACCAGATGCTCCTCAGGCTATTATCTAGAATATATAAAGAACTCAAAAAAATCATGTTGCCCCAGATATAAAGATGTGATTCAAAGATGGGCATCTGAAATGAACAGATATTTCTCAAAGAAGTAAAAGCAGCAAGTAAATATATGAAAAAATGCTCCACATCACTGGTCATTCAAGAGATGCAGATGAAAGCAACACTGAGATTCCACCTCATCCCACAAAGAATGAGGGCTATCAAGAAACCAATCAATAACAAATGTTGGTGGGGTTGTGGGGAGAAAGGAACCCTTCTCCATTGTTGATGGGAGTGCAGACTGGTGCAACCACTATGGAAATCAATATGAAGGAACCTTAAAGAGCTGGGAGTAGAGGTTCCATTTGACCCAGCCATCCCTCTGCTGGGTATCTTTCCAAAAGATTTCAAAGAATCATATCACAGTGATATATGCACACCTATGTTTATAGCAGCACAGTTTGTAATAGCCAAAACTTGGAAACAGATCATTTGGCCATCAGTTGGAGACTGCATAAAGGTGTGGTTTTTCTATAAAATGGAATACTACTCAGCCATGAAGAATGAGAAATTAGAGTCATTCATAGGAAAATGGATACATATTGAGGACATACTCCTAAGTGAAATAGATAAGTCACACATGTAAATACCGAATAGTTTCTCTGGTGTGAATAAAAAATCATAGTACATAAGATCCTAATGAGATAAGTGACCATGTGAAATAGGAAGAAAAGGCCTAAAGGTGTAGGGAAGAAAAGGGTAGGGGAAAGGTAATAAGGGAAAAGAAAAAAATATGCCAAACTGAAAAAATGGAAATAAAGTGTTTGTAAATAGGGAGGGGAGGAGAGGCTGAAGGGAGGTCAGGGACAAGGGGAAAAAATGAGACCCAAGATCACCTGTCATGTAAAGGTACAAGATCCCAATAATGAATGTAACTGTACTGTATACCTAAAATGTACCAATAAACTCAATGAGGAAAAAAAAAAGAAAATATGTATTCTCCAGTTATGAGGTGATATCTCAGTGTGGTTTTAATTTGAATTACTTCTCTACTAATTAATGATTTTAAGTATTATTTTTATATATCTGTCAATTGCTTGTATGTCTTCTTTTGAGATGTATCTGCCTGGGTCTTTTATCCATTTCTAATTGGGTTATTTATTTTAATTTCTAAAATATTTTGCATATTAAATCCTTATCAGATTTATCACTTGAAAACATATCCCCCCACTCTGAAGATTTTTCTCTTCTATTTTTTTCTTTTACTGTGCAAAGCTTTTTGTTTTGAAATAATCCCATTTGACTTATTTTCCCTTTTATGATCTCTTCTTTCGTGGTCATATCCAAAATATCATTGCCTATATCAGTGTCATGAATTTAATTTGCCGGAGATGTGTTGAAAATTTTAGATGTTCTCATCTTTTGTGGTGTCATTGTCTGGTTTTGGTACCAGAATATTGATGACCTTAGAAAATGAGTTAGGAAGTGTTTCCTCCTCTTCAGTTTTTTGGAAGCATTTGAGAAAAATTGATATTATTTCTTTAAATGTTTTGTAGAATCACCAGGAAGGCCACTATTTCTGATTATATATTTGTTATAATAGTAATTTTTAGGTACTGAGTAGTCTTCTGTGCGGGGAGTAATGAAAATGATTAAGGAGGTCACGTGGGAGCTGTGTTGCTTACTTTTTCCTCATTGCTGAGGCAAAATAAATGGCACCCAAAGTTGGAGGGCAAGAGGGTTTTTTTTGGCTTATACTTTATAGAACTTTCAGTTCATAATTGGCTGACTCCAAGTCAGGGATGACAAACTGGAATGGTAGAGTAGAAACAACATGCCACACACAGAATAGAAGAGGCAACAAGGACGTTCACTGAGTCTGCCTCTTTTATTTTCTTCAGACTACAGGGATTAGGGTGGTGCCAAATTAATCACTCACATGTAGAGGTTTAGCAGTCACACACAGTTAACTTCAGCATTATACATTCTAGATTCACCTACCTCTGAAAAAGAAAGTTCCACTTCTTCTACATGAGGCTTTAGGGGGACATCTAAACACAAGCCAGAACAGGAGTTTAAACTGCAGTTGTAATATTTAGCAAATATGTAGATGTTAATCATATGACTTTATGTTTTGTATGGCTAAAAAATTTCATAATTTCAAGAAGGAGGAGTCACTGACTAATTTGAGAACCCAGACTTTTATTTTTAAATCTTTTTTATTTTTTATACCAGGGATTGAATTCAGGAACTTGTGCTTGTGAGGCAGACTTTTAAAAACATATATCATTCTGCCTTTCAGAATAGATGACAAATAACATAAATAAAATTATATATAATCATATATGTCATATAATAATAATATATATCTTGGAAAAATAGATATGTATTCTATGTTGTGTAATTCACCCCAGGACTATGATTTAATTCAGTTTATGTAAAGTGCTTTAATTCCTTTAAAGAAGACAATAAAGCATTAATTTTTAAATCCGTGTATAAAAAAGTTAGAATTTGTATTTGTAAATCTCATTGTTTTCTCAGAAAGCAAAATTTATCATTTTAATTATTTAGGTAACTTTTGTTGTTTTAAATCATTCTTTTTATATGTCCTAAATCATAAAGCACTAAATACTAATTTCTAGATAAATTCTAAGGATTATTATTTTTATTTATTTTTTAATTTATATTTTTATTTGTATACATTTGTCAAACATATTGATTATATTCATCATAGTTTGTACCTGTACAAAATATTTATTGATTTTTCTTTTTTTTTCATTCCCTTCCCCTTCTTTCAGCCTTTCTTCTCTCTGCATTTTATAAAAGCTTTATTTCCATCTTTTTCCTTGTATTCTTTTTTTCTTTTCCCTTCCTTCACTTTATTTTTTTATAATTATTTTTGAGGGAACTAGGGAAATAGGTCTGTGGTAGAACACTTGTGTAGCATGTGTGAATCCCTGGATTTGATCCCCAGCACTGACATTTAAAAAAAAAATAAAAAGATTAAAATAGAATTTTTTAGAGGAATTTTTTCAAATTTATTCTCTGGAATATTCTAAGCTTACTTAAGATTTAAAACATTTTTCACTGTCAATTAAAAAGTGCTTTTGATTATATGGCTGGGCTTTGTGAATTACTACTTCTGTTATAGCTGCCATGATTTATGGTATTGGAGCTAATATTTAACATGATTGCCAAGAGTGTCATGTTGGGGAGAAATTCTCTATTGAAAAATAAGTGATTCTGATTTTGTTAGAATTTCATTTTAATCAATTAATTTTGTGGTTTACACTTTTATATTTCAGGGAAAGGTGGCTCAGACAGCATGTATGTCAGCTTGCAAGCATTTAGCCACATCTTTGATGCAACTTTTACTGGAGGCTGAAGTAAGGCAGCTCACCTTAGGAGCTTTACAACAGTTCAACCTGGATGTCAGAGAATGTGAAAGTAAGACAATGAACCATTGTTTTGCTTGTTTTTCTTTCTTGCATACTCCATGAGAAAAGTTTTAGATTTGTAGTGTCCTTATTCCTGTTAGAGACAAAGAACACTTGGGTTGTAGACATAATTTATAGCACACTTAGAACTAGAACCTATCCTCAAGCTAACTTGAGTACCTGAAAGTGCCAGGCCCCTATTTTGAATTGAGAATATCCCAGTCTATAAGAAAGTTTGTATTCTAGAAGGGCATAAAAGGGAAACACCACAGAAAACCTATTCATTCCAAAGATATTAAATAAATGCAGTTTCCAATCACTTTTTAAATTCTGTTTTTCTTTGTTTAACTTCATCTTATCTGAAAATTCTTCTTAGGCTAAAGAACAAAATGATATTTACCAGTCAGAAATGCTGTCTAGGGCCCCGGGGATGTAACTCAGTGGCACCATGCCTGTGTGGCAAGCACAGGGTCTTGAGTTCAATCCTCAGTACTGAGAGGGAAAACAACAACAACAACTTTTTATTCTGGCAAATAGAAAACTTAAGACAGAATGGTTTTAAACATTAGTTTCATTTTTCTCAGAAGTAACCAGTTCCTGTTTTAGTTAGTTTCCCTGAGATATTGTCATGAAACCAGCTTCATTTCTATTTAGAGTATGGACTTTTATCCTGATATTGCAGTCAGAAGAGACCCACAGTCAAGACAGGAATAAAGGTCAGCCTCACTTATTCCTGTAGAAAATATAGTAGAAACCTTTTTCAGGAGATTGCTACCAAACTTCCCTGTAAGTCTTGATTAAAACACCCATGTACAGTCATTTCCAGCTCCAAAGGAGGCTGGGCAATCACCTGTCAAAATGAAAGAGGAATATCATTATTTGCATATTTGACTGACTCATCATAAATTGTTTACTCAGGATGATCACAAAGTTAGGCTTTGGTTAGGAAGGAATGAAGAGTTTTGTGCTGTCCACTGTTTTATCAGTGAGGAAATTCAAATGAACAAGAAAATGATAAGACTTCTGAAATTTTTTTTGTTTCTGAGAATATTAAAGTAGTGGAAAATTATATAAGTATGTTGACAACTGTCCTACCTTCTTATTTTAATTCCTTATTGGTTATCTCTAGTTTGTCTTTTGATATATGGAAATTGAATTTTTATTAGCTATGCTGTTTTTTTTTGTTGTTTTTTGGTTTTTTTTTTTTTTTTTTTGGTACCAGGATTGAACTCAGGTCTTTGCTCTTGCAAGGCAGTCACCAGAACCACTGAGCTGAATACCCGGCTAGCTATGCTGTTTTTAATTTAAAAGGCTTTTAATTTTAATGCTGTATTAATAATGATTTCTAGTTCCAGCCATCACAGTGTAAAAAGCATCAAAGTCACCATTTTGTTATAAATGTCCATAAAACTGGATAAATTATATGAAATATTATTTTTCTTGCTTTGTACAACAGCATTTTGCAGTCTTTCAGATAAAGGAAATATGTAGTGTTAGCTTTACATTCATTTTGACTTTCTGTCTGGGGATTCTAACAGAAGGAAAGCAAAGTAGATCACACGTAAAAAGTGCTATTTTTACATAGAAAAAATAGAAATTAAAAATCCAACAGAGATTGGTATGTAGTACCAGTGAGACACCTGGAATTTGTGGGGCAAGGTACTGGAGAAAAGAGAGCTGTTCAGAGAAGCAGCTCTAGAGATCTACATTAGAGAACCCTTGAGTATTTAGTCAAATTTGCCATATGCAGAGTGAAACTCTGAGGTAACAGAAAAGCCATGGCCCTGAGGGAGAGGGTCATTCAGTGAGATGAATAGAGATGCCAGGGGTCACAAAGTACCAGGAAACATTGGAATGCTGACCATCTAGTTAAGTACCTTATTCATTCAATAAGACCCCATGTTAGGTCTTAAGAGTGCTGCTCAAGTTCTAGAGTAAGAGCTACTCTATCCTCCCCCAGTTATAATTATTATTTATGTACATGTTGTTTTGAATCAAGTATGCATTCTGGAATGACTGAATCAACTTAATAAACATATACATTGCTTCACATCTCTATTTTTATAGTGAGAACAATTAAAATTCCCTCCCTTGGCAATTTTCAAGAACATAATACATTGTTATCAGCTGTAGTCACCATGATGTACAATGGATCACATGAACTGTTCTGCATATCTGATTGGAATTTTGTGTCCTTTGACCTATACCTCACCAATACCTACCCCCAGTCTCCATCTCTGGTAATCAGTGTTTTACTTTCGCCTTCTGAATTTAACTTTGTTAGATCTACATATAAATACAGATAAACAGTATTTGTGCCTGGCTTATTTTTTATGACATAATGCCCTCCTGTTTCTTTTATTTTGTTCCAAATCACAGGACTTTCTTTTTTTGTTATAGTTGTGTAGTATTCTGCTGTATATATCAGTCTCCATCTCTGGTAATCAGTGTTTTACTTTCGCCTTCTGAATTTAACTTTGTTAGATCTACATATAAATACAGATAAACAGTATTTGTGCCTGGCTTATTTTTTATGACATAATGCCCTCCTGTTTCTTTTATTTTGTTCCAAATCACAGGACTTTCTTTTTTTGTTATAGTTGTGTAGTATTCTGCTGTATATATAAATCCATTTATCCATTGATGGAAATGTGGCTTGGTTCTGTATCTTGGGTATTATGAATAATGCTGTATTGAACATGAGAATGCAGGTATCTCTTTGACAAATTGTTTTTATTTTTTCGGGATACATATCCAGTTGTGAAATAGCTATATCATATGGTGGTTCTATTTTGAATGTTTTGAGGAACTTCCACACTGTTTGTTATCCATGATGACTGTATACTACTTGATATTCCACCAATTGTGTACAAGGTTTTCGTTTTCTTCATATTTGCTCCAATTCATTTCTTTCATCTTTTTGATAGTAGCCATTCTAATAGATGTGATACCTCATTGTGGTTTTAATATGCGTTTCTCTGTTAATTAGTTATTTTTAGCCTTTTTTTGTACCTGTATATGTATGATTATTTATATGTCTGGAGAAATGTATATTTAGGTCTTTTGTTCATTTTTTTTCCAGTTACTCATTTTCTTATTATGAAGTAGTTTGAATTTCTTATATATAGTTTTACGCTAACCTCAACAGCTACTCTTGTCCTATCTTAAGAAAGACTAGTGTAAGACTTGACAAGGTAAAAGTACTCTGCTAGGGAAAGAAGGGCCTTCCAAATAAAACTCAAAAGTCTTTGCAGGAAGAGGAAGAAAAAAAGCCCACACTCTCAACTATGCATCATTTACAGTTTTACAGCAAAACCCCTTAAATTTGACATGTAGAAAGACAGAAAAAATGTGATTTATACCAGTACTAAAGATAGACAATAGAAGTGGACCCACTGATGACACAGTTGTTGAAAATTTACAGGAAATATAAGAAACCTAATATAATATAGTCAGTAGTTTGAAAGATAAAATGGACATAATGCAATAATGGGTTGAAAATATTTCCAGTTTTCACAAAATTATTATGCCATGTATTCATGAAGGTTTAAAAAGTTTTATCAGGATAAATACAAAGAAAGCCATATAAAGACAAGGCATATTGTGCTCAGATTACTAAGTAAAATGATAAAAAATATCAGCCAGAAAAGAAAAAGCATGTAATTGTTATTGTTAACTTCTTATCAGAAACACTGCAGATAAGAAGGCAGGAGAATAATATCTTTAAAGTGCTTAAGAAAAAAAGAAACCTGTTGACCTAAAATTCCATATTATTCTTTAATTTTTAAAGATTTTAATTTTAATTCTTTGCATTGTATAATGATAAATATCCTTTAAAAATAAAGTAAGATAAAGACATTTTCAAATGAATAAAAATTGAGATAATTTGTCATCTGAATATCTATCCTATAACAAATATAGAAGGTAGATTTTGCAGTTAATGGGAAATTATGTTAAATGTTATTCTCTACCTATAGTGCAGATTGTATTGTTTGACGATGTCCAAAATATCTCCTTTGCCACATTTTTTTATAGAGCCTTGATGGTACCTCATTAAGAAATGACATCAAATTCCCCACCCCTTGAATCTGGCCATGCTAAATACTTGATTATAAACAATAAAACGTAGTCCTTTGTGCCATCTGAGGCTCAGTCATAAGAGAAGGTAAGAAGTCCAGCTATCCTCAGGCCTCTGCAGTGTGAGGAAGCACAGAGCAGCTCAGGAGATTGAAACCACATGAATGAGGCCTTAGAGTATATTAACAAAGATGGAGATTTAGCCATTTACCAGCCATCTCATTGATTTCTGCCTTTATTATTTTTTCTTCTAGTTACTTTTTGTTAATATACTCTTTTTGTTACTTTAGGTAGAAATTTAGATAGTTTAAGATTTTCTTCTTCTTCTTTTTCTTTTTTTTTTTTTTTTTTGTACCAGAGATCGAACTCGGGTCCCTGAGCTTGCGAGGCAGGTGGTGGCACCACTGAGCTAAATCCCTGGCAATTTTCTTCTTTTTTAATACTAACATTTATGTTTGAAATTATTCTCTAAATAGCTTCAGCTATAGCACACAAAATTGTTTTTAATTCATTCAGTTTATTGTTACATTTTAGGTATACAATATGATGACTTTCATCATTGGGAATTTGTACCTTTGCGTAATATATCTTGGTTCTAATTTTTTTCCCCATTTCCCTGCCATCCCTTCAACCCCTCCAGCCCTCCCTATTTACAAAGACTTTGTTTCTGTTTTTCCTTTTCTCATATTTTTTCCCTTCCCTTCTTTCCTTTTCCCAAAACCTCCCACAATAATGCCCAGATGTGATTATTTTATATTTATTCATATATTTACTATATCCAACATGCTTCCCACCTTTGTGTAGATTCAGTTTTTATCTAATATTTACATTCTGCTGAGGGGTTCCCTAACATGCATTAGAATGCATTTTCACTTGTATTAAATTCTGTAGACTTATTTTTCTGACTAAAATTTTAATTTGCTTTCATTTTGA